GTCATTAAGCAACAAAAACAAGTAATTACTGAAACAGTGATTGTAGGTAACGATGGAAATCAGAAGCGGATAAAATTTAGAGATGATGTACGAGTTGGTAATCACTTATTGGATAATAACAATAGTTATCATAAGTTCAACAAAGGGCAGGTAAAAAGCTTATTCTAAACTGATATAATTAAGAAATTAAGAGTGTTACAAGTTGCAAGTTTAAGTTAATATGACTTTCCGAAATTCTATTTCCATTTCATTAATGGCAAGTTCTTGATCTCAAATTTAGATTGAATCGCTATGTATCAGAATGCATAACAACACTGCTTACCTCGGCAATAAACCCAGTCATTCTGCACTCGTCAATACAATCCTCGAGTGTCGTGAAATTTGTCTCGACCGATATCCAGAGTGTAAATCGGGTATGTAAATTGGATTGTTAGACGCCTTTGCTAGTGAAATCCGGTTAAAATCAGCATCAGTTTATACTGATAACAACATGTGATGTCTTTATCTCTTTGAGTGCTTCAAAAATAAAATTTGTATAAATTGTAATTTCAGTAATATTTTATCGAATATTTTCACAAGTTAGACCTCTGTGCTATCTTTTCAATGAAAGCAGCGTTGATAAAAAAGTTAGTTATGGTTACTTTTGATTTTTCCCATTTCTTTCGTTACATGAAAAATCTTCAGTAAAAATCATTTGTTATCTAGGTGATATTGTATCCAGAAAAACCATTGGTTGAAAATGATATTATTAATATTGTGGAGATTGCTGCGGATTGTCATGAGTTTGATGCAGTACCCCCTCTTCCAAATATTTTTACATCGTCTTCGGACAAAGTTTCCCGTTCAAAAAGAAAAGGTTAATTAGCAATTGTTCTAAAAGGAAATTTCTTGCAACGTAATGATATTTTAATATCTCGCTGTGGTCAGAATTTTATTCTACAGATATGTTTAAAATATTTTCAGCAAATAGATACGGATATCCCATTAAACGTACTGGACCATGGACCCCATGGACAAAATGCCTAAATAATAAGAGTAAATAAATTTATTATTTTTTGCATTTTTTGTAAGTAAGTCTGTCATCTATAATTTCATGTTATCTAATTCCTTACTATTTGGCAAAGCAAATAGAAAAACGAAGACAGTTTTTTGCTGCACATTTTAACAATCAGCGAAATTTCTCTACTCAGAAGTGTTTTTTCAATGCAGATTTTCAGAATATCAAATTAGATCTCAAGCTTGTGAATATGGACGAATAATTCAGAAAAGAGACTGCTCCACTGATGCGTTTTCTAAAACGTTATCATCCGCTATGTCATTTATTCCTCATTCAACGCCATATTATCCTTACCCACCACAACCATATGAACATCCCAATGAGAATTCGTAAGGGTCTCAGTATTGCCTCTTTAATCTCTTTTTTCTGTTTTATTGTAAAAGTATTTGATGGAAAATTTGCCAACAATTTTTTGCAGCGCGCACTTAAAAAGAGCTGCCTTGGAAACTGCACAACTACCAGTATTTTTTTACTGCTTTCAGTTATCCATAAATTGAATTTTAATTGTAGAATTGAATATACCACTCGCTTCGCGGAACATATGCAACAACTGCGCAGATCACATGCAGAATGTTGCAGAAGGCAAGAATGGTATCGCGAGCATGTACGTATTTTAATGAAAAATCTGAATACTTGTGAAATTGAAATTATGAAAAGATGATAAGACATGAGGTGTTATTTTATTTCACTCCCATGTTACAGTTCTTTTACAGAGTGGGAGAGGTAACGTTACATTTTGTCGCCACCAATGTCCGCTACTTGAACCACTGGATGCTAATCAGGTTTCAAAAGAATGGCCCCGTGCAAATCAGCAATATGCTTTTTCAGAGCAAAATCAATATCAAGAGTATCGCGAAGGCCAACCCGAACTGATTACAATTCCCGCTCCTAACTCATCACAGGTTACTTCTGAAGATGAAACAGAATCTGCTCAGGAGTCAAATTCAGGCTTTGGGTTGCATGGATCAGAGACAGTAAGCCGCCTGACTGTTGATGAACGGTTAAAGACACATGAAAAGGAATATTTTCTTGGCTTGCAATCTCGATTGAGTGAAACTGTTGAAGAAAAGAATTTACTGAATGCTAAAGCAATAGAACAGCATAACTTTTTGCATGAAAATAACCATCAACATCAACAGCCTAAAGATGACTATCAGTATCAACAACATCAAGCAGGTTATAGCAATGCCAATGATCAGCAGCAGCAGCGATATGAAGCAGACCATGTGCAACATGGAGAGCATTTCAATGAACCCATTAAAAACGTTGAAGATGACTTTTTGGAAGGGGAAAACAATCAGCATCAGGAACAGAAAAGTGATGCTGATTTAGGACCAGGACGACCAAATTACCGTTATGACAACGAACTCCAGGAAACAATTTCTACCAGTTCTAATCAAAAGGAAATTGCACAACCCAAAACACATGGGTTAAGTAACAAATCTTATGCATTTACGATCTCAAATTCATTTCATGAAGAGAAAGCAAGGCACTCTCAGGCTTCTCGTAATAAAGAAAATTTGGATCATTGGCTTTCATCAACATTATCACCATTTGAGTATTCTCATCAACATATAACGAATAGCAAACAATCCCTTAACAAGTCGGCTGAAATTCAACCTTTAGTTTCGAGTCAAGAATTGCATCAAACAAGAGAAGAGTCCAACCATCAAGTCATGCCTCAAGTACCGTGGAAGCAACAGAAGTTACTCCAATCTTTTACTGACGACAAAGAATCTGTACAGTTCGAAAGTAACCACAACAGCCAGCGACCACAATCACATTCAGTGCAGTCTTCTGAATATCCACATGATGAATATTATCATCGAATGCAGCAACAACTAACTGAACCATTCATAAATGACGGCTTTTATCCAGAGCAGAAGCAACATCTTTCCGCAAATTTGAATACCGATTACCAAGATAGACAGCAACAAGGGGACAGTCATGGTCAACACTCTCTTCAGCCTTTAGCTGAAAACTACTACTCACAACAATATTCATTTAATGGTGTGGAAAAAAAACAGCATTCCTCAGACTACTCAACTGATGATTACCCTTCCCAAAAGCAACTACAACAACAGCAGCTATCTCAACTTTCTGATAAATACTATTATCAACAACCACACCAGGAACTTTCGGACAATTACTACCATCGCATACATCAAGAACGAGAACAACTACAACAATCTCCAGAACTGCAGGCTGATAACCGCTACCATAACCAACAACCTTCAGGACAATCAAATAATGATAATTACGGTCAACAACTACAACTTTTGAAACCATCAACTGATGATTATCAACACCAAGAACAACCACAAAAGCCTTCTCAAACTTCAAATAATGACTATTATCATCAACAGCAGCAACAACGGAAATTTTTGGAATCTCAAGACTATTACCGTCAGCAAACACCACAACGAACATCAGAATTTTCTGGTCATGATTATAATCACCAACAGCTCAATCTACAGCAACCACTAGAACCAGCAGCTGATAACTACCATCGTCAAGAACAGCAGGAGCTCTCGGAATTATATAATAATCAGTATTATCCTCAGGAACAGTTACAACTATGGCATCCTCCAAAGCCATCATCTGATGATTATAGTCGATATCAACAACCACACCAGCCTATTGAATCATCTGCTGATCATTATTACAATGAACAACAGCAACAAATTTTAGAAGCAATAACTGCTGAATACCATCAAGAACGAGAACGGCAACCACATCGACCTCCGGAACAACCCAATGACCGTGAACAACAGCGACAACCACAACAGTCTTTAGAACCAGTAACTGATGATCATTATCATCGAGAGCAGCAATACATACAGCAGCAGCCTATGAGACAATCAGCTGATACCTACTACCATCAACAACAAGAGCGTATGGAATCATCCATCACTGATGATTATTACCATCAAAGGTCACAGCAGCCTTCAGAACCATCCACTGATGACCACTACGGCCAACAGCAATCTCTGGAATCATCATCTGATGACGATCATCGTGAACAATTACCACAGAAATCTTCGGAGCCGTCAGCTGACGACCATCATCGTCAGGAATTGCCACAGCAACCTTTTGAACCATCTACT